CCCCCCCCCTCCCTCCCTTCCGACCGGACCGGCACGGAGGATGACAGGAGAGAGATCTGACAAGTCCACTGCAAACGTCTAGCCTCGCTTACTGGGAGTGGAACCCGTCCGGTTGGCTGTACAAGCTCGGCGTTCTCGACTTCGCCGGCTCCGGTCCCGTCCACATCGCCAGCGGCTTCGGTGCGCTGGCCTGGTCCGTCATGCTGGGCAAGCGTAAGGATCCGTTGGGCGAGAGCCTGCACGCCAAGATCCCTCACTTCCACGGACACAACCCGTTCCTCGTCGGCATCGGCACAATCTTCATCTGGTTCGGGTGGCTGGCCTTCAACGGCGCCAGCACGGCCAACCTGAGCATCCGCAGCATCTACGCCGTCCTGAACACCAACATGGCCGCGTGCGGCGGCGGCATGGCCTGGACCCTGCTCGGGTACGCCCACTCGCGCAAGTTCAGCGTCGTCGGTTTCTGCTCGGGCATCATCAGCGGGCTCGTCGGCATCACCCCCGCGGCCGGCTTCGTGCCCGTGTACACGTCGTGCCTGATCGGCTGGCTGACATCCATGGTGTGCTTCTACTGCGTCCGATACAAGCACGTCATCGGCGTCGACGACGGCCTCGACATCTGGGCCATCCACGGCATGGGCGGCGTCGTCGGCGACATCATGACTGGCTTCTTCGCCACCGGCTTCGTCCCCGCCCTCGACGGCGTCACCGTCGACAACCCGGGCGGCTGGTACGACCACCACTGGATCCAGATGGGGTACCAGCTCGCCGGTGCCGTCACCTGCGCCGCCTGGAGCTTCTTCGTCAGCTGCCTGCTCCTGTTCGTCATCAACAAGATCCCCTACTGCCACCTCCGCGTCACCGAGGAGGAGGAGCTCGCCGGCCTGGATTCCAAGTATCTGGCCGAGTCTAACGTCGACATCTTTGGCATGGGCCAGTACATGAGCCCGCACGATACGGAGCGGTCGCCGAGTATCCAGGGTGTCTCTCAACCCGTCGTGGCCACACTGCCACCTCCCAACGGACAGAAGATTGACTGATCGAACTGTATACCCTCTGATTTTTACCACCGGAAGCTAGCAAGGCAGAATGAATATCGATAATGGATGGCGTTTTATGGCGGAGGCCGCAGATCGACCGCCGCACACACCGTTATACGTGCGTCGTGGGTAGCTTGAAGTTGGCGCAAGTATGATATGAACGTGTAGGTTTCTCTTTCTCATCTTGTTAGTTTAGCACATTATTTCTCTTTTACAATGCAGATACTGTCTTCAGATCCAGTAGTGATCTTCGTTTGATGACTTAAAATAACCGGGGGTGGGGACGTGTACATGTGCGTGGACTCGGAACGGTCGGAGGTGTCACGCCTATGTCCCCCCGCGAGTGACATTGATGCGTAACCCGTCGATTGAGTGCATCCCCAACCATCAGAGATCTGCGGCGCATTGTGCGCGTGTACGGAGAAATACAGATAGCTACATACTACGTTCCCATCCAGCCCGGAAATGGTTAGGCCCCATCGACCATCCCTGTTTGATCTTGAATCTTGAGTATCCAGCACACGAAGTCTATTCTCGCCATTCGAAGCCAAGTGCCCCCCCCCCCCCTGCTTTTGACTCGAGCGCGCATGTCGTCATAATCGCAGCATCGAACAGAGACACAGCAGGATGTTACACTTGATGTTGCACTTAATGCTACACTCGATGGAAACATCTCTCCATCAGAAGATATCGAGGCAACCACTCATCCAACCATGAAGCAGGCTATAGTCAGCGCAAACGCCAACGTCGTCATCGAGGACTCGCCGATCCCCACGCCGAGCGACAATGAGCTCCTCGTCAAGGTCATGATCGCGGGGACAAATCCCAAGGACTGGAAGTTCCCGACGATCGAGACGCCTCACAATTCCGGAGACGACGTTGCCGGCATTGTCGAAGCTGTGGGACCGGGAGTATGGGAGTTTGCCAAGGGCGATCGCGTCGCCGGCGTACACGCATTCCCGGATCCCGGCGGCGCATACGCCGAGTACGCCATCCTCCCGGCCCACCAGACCTTTCGGCTTCCACCAAACATCAGCTTTGAAGAGGTAATGATCATGATTTCCGGGACCAGACACCCCAACCTACTTGGGGGTTGGGAAAGAAGAGAGAGAGAGAAGAGTGTTTCATACTGATGTGAACGAGAGGAGATAAAAGGGCGCGACGGTCCCTCTGGCAGCTCTAGCCGCCTCCTTCGGGCTATTCTACACCCTCGAACTACCGTCGGCGTGGAACGGCCACCCGCTCAACCCGACGCCGCTGCTCGTCTACGGCGCCTCGTCGGCCGTGGGTTCCTACGCCATCAAGCTAGCCCTGTCCTGCGGCATCCACCCGATCGTCGCCGTGGGCAGCGCCAACAGCAGCTTCGTCGAGCCGCTGCTGGTGGCCGAGGAAGGGGACGTCCTGCTCGACTACACCGCCTACCATGACCCGCAGGACCTCGCCGACGCGATACGGGAGGCCTTTGAGATGGCCGGCATCCACCGTGGTCGCACCCCCTACGCTCTCGACGCCGTCTCCCTACCCGGCACCTTTGACAAGGTCGTCTCCAAGGCCATGGCAGGCCCGCCCATCAACGGTCGCAAGCCGCACCTTGCCGTCATGCTCCCGGGCCAGGACTACAGCTCCGTGGATGGGAGCATCCAGGTGTCTGAGGTATACACCGGCGTCGCGCACCAAGGCGGCAACGTCGGCAGGAGGTTCGCCTACCTTGCCTGTCGCATGTTCTCGCTGGGCCTGAGAGAGGGCTGGCTGCCGCCTCACCCGCACGAGGTCCGCGAGGAGGGCCTCGAAGTGCTGCAGGAAGTGCTGCAGATGTCCATGCGGGGAAAGATTCACGGCAAGAAGATTGTGCTTCGGGTAGCAGAGAAGTAAGGTTGGAGGGGTCAAAGGCACACCGCGTTTCCGACCGCATTCGAATTCGGGTTCGCTGGTGTTTCAATCATGATACCGGGTTCAACCTCATGCATGTCAGCCTAGACTCATACGATGAGATGCGCACAGCCGAGAACGGCGCAGCTGTCGTTCCTTCTCCTCCTTCTCCTCTTCTCTTTTCGGTGTCAGCGTCCCTGCGTGGAGGAGAGTGATGGGTATGTGACCTAGCAACAGCGCCGACACGGCGAATAATGCTAATAAATACGGCTCTATTCATAAATCTCTGGAGTATGAATTGCTGCATGCTGATATAATTCATGCGGTTAGACAGGGACATGGCACGAGTGCCTGTACATAGCTCCTCCGTCTATATAAGAATACCTTACCTATACTATATTCCTCTGTAGATGTGTGTCCTTGTCGAGGACAGCACACACTTCAATATACACACACTATTAATACCTTTTATAATTCCATCATAACGTGACTGTACCCGTGGAAGTCTGCCTAGGCCCGTAGAAGCTCCCGTTCCAAATAGGAAGTCCCGAATTCGAAGCAGAGCCGACTACGCCTATGTGGGACAGATCTCCTGGTTTGGACTGGCAAACTCCTGACTCCGCGAGATCGTGGAATAGCACGGGGATTGAGTGAATAGTAATGTGAGTCCCTAGCTGATTAGAGGGGAAGATTGAGAAGCCGGTTTGTCTTTCTGCTCAAACTATTCCCATGCCATCAGGTAAGCGCTATGTGTCCTTGGCGGGAGAACGAGGCTGACCAAATCGTCGTCGTTACGTGAAGTAATACCACATGATTAAATCACACCAGCATGTATGCCGACATGACTTCTGATAGCCTATAGGAGGATAGATGATGTACATATTCTTCCCCCTCAAGCGCTGATCCCTTGCTATCCTTTCTTCCGTCAGGATCGGTATCGATATCTGCAGCATGACATATTCCGTGCACATCTCAGCCATGGCTGCCGAATCAAGCCGTTATACGATTGTATACAATGAGCTGGAAAGCAGATGGCCTGTTGTCACCGTGGCAGCCATCGTACTCGTGCCATCCATCATCCTGTCGCGTTTTCTCGGACACGGCCCTCTGGCTGGGGACCCCGTTCGAGAGAGGTGGGCGCATCGGTTGGATAGAGAGAGGATGGAGCATCTATATATAGAAGGCTACGCAAAGCTAAGATACTCGCTTCCCCTACTATACCCGGAAAACCACATCGGTCTGGAGATGACTGGCATCTCTATTCATCAAGACAGGTTCAAGAGATGGCGTTTTCAGGGTGACGACAGCCAGCAGTAAGTCCATGATAACCGTTTCCCGTACACGCACGGCGAATCCCGCACATCCGCTTTTAATTCCGAGGGCCCTTGTGATTTACAGTCCCGCCCCGTTTTCTCAACGAACTTGAGAAGATGCCCTCGAGCGTGTTGAGCTTCGGGGGTTGCCATCGAAGAGGTTTAAAGCTCGCTCCCCTACACCACCGTATGGGAGGGAGTCAAGGATGGGAAGAGTTGATACTATTACTTACTTGCTAGAGTATGGAGACGAGGTACACCGAGATGGAGGGCGAGACGCCATCTCTCACTCTCACACAGTCAAGCATCCCATGGCCCCTGCACTGGGTAAGGACCGATGCCCTCCCCCCGGGCACCTCACACCCAAGAGCTAAGAGAGGAACGGTGTGTACATATGCATACTCGATGGCAATTAGGCATAAGTAACTCATATTATACTCACCTCGCTTTAACATCAGAATCGATAGTACGAGTACAGAAGAGACCTCCAGACTGTGTCTTGTGTTGTACTTGTGACGCTAGTCTCTAGTCCCACGTCGATACGTAGTCGTTGTATTCATAGACACGATTTTTTTGAATAATTATTATAATACAAAAGATAAGCCAGACCGACCTTTGGCGAACAGGACTCCCTGGCACGCATAGGACTTAGCCTTTCTTTCTTTTCCCGGTAGCCGGTGCGGGGTTTGTTCCGGTACTCGTCCTCGTCCTCCCACCGTCGTACGTTCCCGATATTCTTGTGTTGCGGTTGATCACTCGAAGCCCTTACATATATGATTACATGCAAGTGGATGCATCGGAGTGATAGCATCCTCATCCGCTCCAACGTCACGCCATGTCGTCGCAGGAACCCAGGAAGCAGCGGCAACGCGTCTCTATCGCTTGCGTCGAGTGTCGAGTAAAGCGCATGCGGGTAATCACAACCACACTATCTTTCCATTCCAATTCTTAGCTTTGACTAATACCAGAGTATCCAATTCCGCAGTGTAACGGCAAGGAACCTGTTTGCGAAGCATGTGCAAGACGAGGCACCAATTGCGTCTACCAGCATGCTGAGAACAAGCGCAAGTACGTCTAAGTCACCACTCTAATCAAATCACCAGGTGCTCCTTTTTATTCTCCCCGTCATGTCAGAAAAAAAGAAGAAGGAAAAAAAGAAGGAGAAGAAGATTCTGACGTCTGTCTCTTCGCATCCAACGGCAGACCGCCGAGTAAAAAGTACGTGGCGTCGCTCGAAGCGCGCATCCGCCATCTCGAGTCCCAACTAGTATCGCTAGGCAACCTGCCACCATCCGCACCCGAAGTGAATAGCCTGCAGGAAGATGAGGATGCAGGCCAACTTTCGGAGGGCAGCGCTGAAAATGAGAAGGATCCCATGGCCCAGCTCACCGGTCTGGTGGGCCGCCTGGCAGTCGTCGATGACGGCCAGCTCCACTACTTTGGCTCCCAGAGCTCGCTGAACCTGCCTCGGGAAGCCGACAGCAGCGGCACGGCGGCTCCTTTGATTCCGCGGCTCAAGGTGGAATCCCAGGGTGTGGCGGCGGCCAGGCAGCTCGGCACGTCTGTAGACGTGGCGGTCGAGCTGCAGGAGCACCTGCTGGACCTGTACTGGCGGTGGCAGAACCCGTGGAACTACATCGTGCACAAGGGGGCCTTTCTCAGGAGCCGTCGGGGCCAAGATGACGGGAGATACTGCTCCCCCGGGCTGCTGTCGGCCATGTTCGCCATCGCTGCCCGTTTTTCGGACCGCGTCGAGCTCCGCAGTGTTCCGGACGACCCTAGCACGGCGGGGAATGCCTTCTGCGAGCAGGCCAAGATCCTGCTGCTCTACGAGAGCGAAGCGCCCTCCGTCACCACGGTCCAGGCGGCTGCGATCCTGGCACTTCGCATCATGTCGGATGGCCGGGAGGCCCTCGGATGGCTATATTGTGGTGAGTGCTTCCCAACCTCCGTGGGACCCCGGAGCACGTCCCCGGTTGTGCTGAAGACCGAGCAGGGAACGCCACGAGAATGGCACACAATCTCGGGCTCCACGTAGACTGCTCCAGATGGGTCTCGCCAGGCCTCATCGGCGAAGACGAGATCGAGGTCAGGAAAGTTACCTGGTGGGGTTGCTATGTGGTGGATAAGTATGTCCTCGAACCAGACATCTCCTTTCCAAGAGACGGCGTAGTTCTGACAGGATCTGTCCGCTCATCAGGCTTTTCGCGTCCGGACTTGGCCGTCCGAGCAGCATACAGAACTCCGGTATCACCTGTCCCAAGCCCACCATCGATCAAGACGAGTACAGTCCTTGGCTGCCGGTGACCAATGAAGGGGACAAGTCCAGCTCGCTCGGGGCCCATTCCCACATCACATCCACGGCACGCTATGTATCGGAGTGCATGTTGATCGCCTGTGAGGCAATCGAGGCCATGTGAGCACAGCCAACCAGACGCGCACCCTCCCCAGACAGCTGCAGCCGACTGCTAATACACTGTGCTCCCCTCGTGGCAGCTATGCTCCCAACAGCCAACTCTCCAGTGGCGAGATTGACGAGATCGTGAGCAGGGCAGATGTGAACCTCCGAGCTTACTACACGGCTCTGCCTACGTATCTGCGTCTTCCCCTGTCGCCAAAGGTGGCCACCCTACCGCACATCTACCTCTTCCAGTAAGATCTAGTCATCCGAACCATGCTCCCCCGACTTGACATGGCCACTCACGCACCCATCGCGCAATGTATCAGCATACAGTACCACGCACATCTGATAAACCTCCACCGGCCTCTAGTGCAGAGGAAACGACGGAGGTCGTCGGCAGCAGAAAGCTCCCCGGAGGCCAATGCGACAGTCCCCGAGGCCACGACCGCCAATCGGCACATGGAAATATGCTGCCACTCAGCAGCCCAGGTGACCAAGATCATGCGCGTCTACAAGCATCACTATACTCTGGTAATCCAGGCGCCCTGACCCGCACCGTACCCCGTCATCCATCTACACATCCGGGACTGACAATGATCAGCGTCAAATTCCCATTGCTGGCGTGCACCTGTCCTACGCCGCCGGTGTCATACACCTGATTGATGCCCGGCCGTCCAATCCCCAGCGCGGCTCGGCTATCCGCAATCTGGCCATCTCCATAAACACACTGCAGGACCTGCGCACGGCGTGGTGTGCCTGGGCCGACCGCTGTCTCCGAGGCTTGCAGGCCATGTCCCGTCAGTGGTACCGATGTGACCTTTCGGAACTGCGGAGCTGCACCGGCTACGGTACGCACTGTTCTGTCTCCCGCCACCTCTATGCGGAGGCTTGAGCCGCTCTGCTCTTGTCGGTACTTGTTTATGGTGCTGATGCTGATCGATATCGAGCGTCTAGATCTCCGGGCTGCAGAGCAAGTCCTCCCGACCAACGGTATGGCTGCTGCATCTGTTCCTGTTCCTCTCGAGACAGCCGACAGCTTCCGCGTTGCAGAAACAGCGGATGATGCGTACGGGGCTTTCTCTGGAGCTGTGGACTCGGACAAATACCAGGATGAGATGCAGCAATGGTTCCTTGACAATCAGGACTATTTGTGGAACATACCGTTCGACTTTAATGACTCCGGGGCCTCGGAGTTCCCGCTCAAAGGGGTTTCCGAATAAGGGATCTCGTCATCACACGTATGAGATATACGGGGGCTGTATTATTAGTACTATTATGGATGAATGAAACCGAGAGGAAACGATGCAAGGACTGATCACATAGGGCCACACACCTTTCATGTCTGAATTTAAAGAGCAGATTCGAGAGCTTGCTTCCGATGTATGGGGTGGTCGGGATCTACCAAGGCACATGTAGCCTTCGCAGTCTGAATGCTCCGTGTCACTACTATCTGTACATGCAATCGATGACCAGAATCAATGAGATAAACGTAACCATGTAACCTGGCTGACTTGGACCAAGATCAGAGGCAGATGGGGCTACAACTCCAGATTCGCTTGCGGGATGGGAGTTGCGGGGACGAGACAGAAGTAGTACGGAAGATAGGATAGTACTTTTCCGGACCCGGAACCGCCAAGATTGATTGGAGTTAATTAGTGTAGCGGAATTACCGCCGATCATGTCCCGTCACGACTCGTCTGAAGGTATGCGGCTGGCCAAACTCGTGAGCCTGACTTATCTTTCATCATGTAGTCAATGAAAAGCATCCGATAGGATATCTCCTTTCCGGCCTCAGTCTCATTCCGTGCACA